CTTGCAGAAAGAGGTATCACCCATTCCAGCTCGAACCCTACACCCTCACACAGGCGGGCGTCTGAACCAGGTTGATGACGGAGTCTACGATGCCAAGCACCTCCCGGCTGCAGTCCTTGAGCATGCGCAAACTTCTTATGCGTGTAGTGGGGTAAGATTAGGGATATATTGGGGATATATTGGGATAATGGAAAAGAAAATGGAAACTACTATTTAGGGTTTCGGGGCTTATGGCTGGGAGCTGTGATTGGGAACCGGAAGGAGCTAGATGCCGGTCATATCTCGTCTGCATGCTTGTCTCTTCAGGTGGCTCGTCTTAGTCCAGGAATTCAGATTCGTTTCTCTGTGTAATTTAGCACATGTGGTGGGTTGTTTCTTTAGCCCAACAACACAATGCGCTCTGCACCAACAGCACTTCCCCTGCATGTGTCTGATTGTAGAAATCTCCAACACCAAACTCCATGCGCCAAACCTGTAGAAGGAAACTCCACTTTTAAATCCCAAAGGGTCTCTACTAATGTTGACCTAGTCATGGATGACAGCGTAGTAGTGTTCAGGTAGTGGGGAGGAAATAGCTTACTGGGGGTTAGTAGGGAATAAGAGAATCTGGTATTTTAGGATTAAAATCCCTTATTCCCTGCCAACCACTGGTAAGATACGTGAACTGGCACTAGGAGCGATATTCTAGGACTCGGGCCCCAAATGCCATGCTTCCAGGGTAAATCCAGCCTGGTCCTCCAAAACTAAGAGAAATGTAGGGTCCGCATTTGGGGGCACAGGCCATGATGTGTCAATCCTCTGAGACCTGTATACTCCATAAAGCAGGCCCAACATATTTCCTGCACAATCTTTCGGTAGACGCCACTACCCCAGGTCCTCATGACTGGTCTTTCACGTCACTATGAACACTATCCACCCGCCCTCAAACTACTTGGTTGCTGTTAAGGTTACTATATTGGGGAAACCCTATTATTTACTATTATGGTAACTTAATTTAAGTTCCTTTACAGCAACCCAGACTAACATGGCAAACTGTTGATCTGGCTTCCTTTGAAAAGGGACAGTTCTCATGAGAATCTTGAGCCAAGAATCCTCCTGACTCACACCAGCTTCGCTGAGTTCCCGGAAGTGCCTCACAAGCCATTAGCAGCCTTAAATTCTTTGGGTTCAAGGTTTAGGGTTTTACGCGGATTTAAGGTTTAAACTCAGGGACCAGGCTTCCAGGCCGCTTAGAAGGTGTGGCAACCATGAGGGTTTAGGGTTTAGGGTTTAAGGTTTAAGGGTTTGAGGGTTTAGGGTTTAGGGTTATGAGGTTCAGGGCTGTAGGGGATATGGAAAAGGCAGGCCTGGGCCAAATCAAGCTGCTTTCAAGCCAGACCCAAATGCATGAAACCCCAAACCCTATATACCCCTATATATGCCCATGCATATAACCACTATAACCCCTGATATCCTATGCAGCCCCTAGGGAATCCCTTGTGTATAAGGCATGTTCTATAAGACGAAATGTTTGCCGAGACACAGGGACTTCATTTGCTTCAGCACTCTCCTTGGACAACAAATGCTTCTTTGGGAAATGATATTTAAACGACTTCGACTTTATACAGTTCTATTTATATAGCCCTGGACTAGAAGAGGGAGCCCTGACTCTACTACCCAGGTGATAAGAAGCTATCCGGGTGATACACAGAAGCGGCGCCCTAAAATTGGGAAATCTCCAAATGATATACTTCCAGAAATGGAAGTCAGGCACCCCAACTGAAGATGTTTACGGCTCCGTAAGATCTCGACACATCCTGGAGTCCTTAAGGCCTCCCCAAACGTTAAGAAACCCTGCACTCAAAGACTTCAAGTTTGTACCCTTACTGTTTGTGACCTTAGGTTTTGAGTCCCAGAGACCCTTTTAACAGCCATATTTCATGGCTTAAGGACCCAAACCCAGGGGTACAAACCCTAAGGGGACAAAGGAAAACTCCCTCATAAACCCTAAACGGTGCCCTTAACTCCCACCACTCCAGTGTAGTGGAGGGTCAAAGGGTCAAAGTGCAAAGGGGACCTTGTGCAATGGTGACATATACGTGGAGTACGAGCCAAAGATTACAATGAAGTTCGTGCTGTACTGGACCAACTTCCAGGGAAACGGTGGCACATCTCTGACCTCTAGACGGAATGTGCCCCAAAGGAGCTTTCATCCCTACTTACAAAAACCATCCGGCTTTCAAACCTCAAATTTGCGCACAGTGACGGCTCTACCAGAGGTAGCGCTAACACATTTCTGAAGCCCGACATGAAAGTAATGCGTAGCCGCACCAGGAGTCCTAGTCCCGGCTGGTGCTTTTGCAAGCTTGCTCTACACTTTTGAAATCCGCTCGCTGACTTCCGTTTTGTTCAATTTCTGAATCATTCCTGCTTCAGCAAGCTAGTGACTGCTGCAAACCCAGCAACCATCGGATAGTAATACTAATACCAACACTGCTTGTAGTAGTAATCCGCAACCAAAAACAAATTCGCCAAAGGTCTGTAAGCTCGCACCAGTACCTTGCAGGTTGATGGCCACGTTGTTCGCCACCGCGTTCAGAAACCGAACATCTGCAGCAGCAAAAGGGGCCTTTTTTTGGCTCAGGGCCCGAAACAACACACTAAGCCCCAAACCAGAACAGCAAATAACCTTTAAACTCGTCCGTGGCTATGATTAAGGGGACCCGACTGGATCGGAATGTCAACCAGAAAGACTTTTCAATGAAAATCCAACAAGTCTGTACAACGCCACCTGTCTGAAGGAGCCTGGACTTTCACATACTTCTTATCTGGGAGTTTCTCAAAACCACCCCTTCGTAGATCCCTTGCACACATTCCGTGTGTCCCTCAGAAACCCTTCTCTACACCCTAAACCCATGTACGCCCTAAACCACCCAAATGCACGGACAGGGGCTGCAGTGTCTGCGCCCTTAAGGCATGCCAACACTGCAAGCACCTCCAGGACTGGAGGGGTTGAGGGGCTTAGGGTGTGGTTTAGGGTTTAGGGTGTACATCGGGCTTATACAATATGTGCATTTTAAACGATGGAGGGTGTGTTATGCAAAAATAGAATCGTTTCCCTCTAATATTGAACCACACCTATTACATGGGAAGCCCAGGGGGCCTTATTATCCTGGAGAGCACTTTTGACAGGGGAAGCTACTGTTGAAACGGTTCCTCTTGATAAGGAATTACAAAGGATCTGACGTCATGAGGCGGATTATCATAAGGAATCAACAGACGTCAGGGACCTCCACGATTTCCCGGTGTTTCGTCTTTAGACCGTTTTCATGAAGGAAGCCCAGACTGCTCAACCCTAAACCCTAAACCCTAACCCGGTGAACATCTCGACCCTCCAGGCCTCGCCGTCCGTGGAGACACAGGGCGAAGCCAGAACTGCTCGTAGCTTCCTAGGTTTTGGAGTTTAGGGCTTCAGGGTCAGAGGGCCTAGGGCTTACGCGGGCAGGGGTCATGAGCGGGATTTGAGGGGAATGGGTGTAATCATCTCAAATATCTATATGGAAATAGAAAAAGGGTTTAGGGGTTTAGGGTTTAGGCTCTGAGGGTTTCAGGGTTTAGGTGTAGGGGTTTAGGGTTTAGGGGTTCCGTAGGGGTTTAGAGGTTTAGGGTTTAGGAGTTTAGGGGTTCACGGTGTAGGTTTTAGGGGTTTAGGTTTGGAGGCGTTGAATTCATAGCGCTCTGGGCCTTGGACCCTCATGCTAGCATCCGGAAAAGGCAAAAAGTCTGATGAAACAGTCGCCAGGTCTCATCCCAGTTTCTCGGAAGTCGTCGTGGATCTCAGGCTTATAAAATCCTCGGTTCTCCTCCAAACTCCACAAATGCCTTTAAGAAAGATGTTGAGTGTTGCAAAACAACACAACAAAGAAATGGGCTTAAATCAAAGCATGCTAAAGAATAGCCCAGACTCTTGAATTCATTAAATCATTAACCTCAGCAGCGGCGTTTAGGGTTGTTCGGTTATCAACATTGGCCGCGGTAGGGTTTGGGACGCTGGGCTTCGGGTATGGTTTCGTGGATCGAACCCTCTGGAAGCAGACAAAAGAACGTCCGCACCCCTTGATGCTAAACATGCGCTCCCGTAAAGCCTACGAGGCAACTGGTGATAGCATCGAGCTACGGACTACCTTCACTGTCCAATTCCCTGGATCGCCACAAGGTTCGCACAAATTCGCTGCAGTGTGACTTGGCATTGATGATAGAGACCCCACAGATCGCACCATCAAGAATCTGGGTTGAGAGATCTGACCTGTCCGCAACAAAATCGCTGTAGAAGTCTCTTGGGCCTGCCTGCTGCTGTCGCAGCATCTTAAGTGTGAGGGAGCGCTTGGACTCCTTCATGCAACACAGCCGAGAAGCCGCAAATTGTCTACCTACTGAGCTCGCAGGACTCCGGACCCATCTCAGGTGGTGATGAATTTTCTTCTTGCGGTTGAGGGGCTGCGGTTTAGGGATTTAGGGTTTCTCTTCTTAGGAGGTCTAGCCTAGAGCATAGGGATTCCCAACACCGTCCAATACCTTCCAGGCTCCTTGAAACAAGGGACATCCCTCAGCCCTAGGCCTTCTACCTGAAGCCCAAATGTTCCCCGACCTCAAGCCCTACCATCCTCCATGTCCCCAACACTTGAGGAAAGCAGTCTTGTTAAGCGGCGCATATGGTAACGCCATCCTCTTTGCACTTGTGGAGGACAGTCGCTTCGGCTGCAGAGAGGCGGAAGAAGGGAATCTTGTCACCTTATTCCAACCTCTTGTAGGAGGAATACTGTTCCAAATTAATACAGGCGTCTGCCGTAGGGATTCCGGCCTCTGGTCTCAAGGAACTACGTTTCTGCCGCCTGACCCAATGCCCATGTAGTGTTACATCGTCGCGGTCCCAAGACAGTCAAGGTAATCCTTTACGGACCAGAAAACTTACCTGGAACCTTCAATGACAAAACACTATGCTGTCAAGTCCAGCAAGTCACTGACCTTGAGGATAAGGTCGTCCTTGTGACCTGCGAGCTTCGGCCAGACTTTGTCTGCTCAAGGTCACAAACAGTTTCTCTAGACCTCAGAAAACATTCTTTCAAGGGCTTTCAGAAGTACGCCGAATCCTACTACCCCTTTCTGGAGCGTTTGTGAATTTTCTAGGTTGTGTGGCAACTTCCATTGTTTGATTCGCAACGGACAGCGCTCTTGAAGCACTTCATTGATACACATGGTCCATAGGTCACTCATTTGCTAGCTGGACCGATTACGAAACCCTATTTTTTGTCTGTAATATTCATTAAAGGAAACTATCGTTGCTCCTGCTGGGCATGTTTGAATTTCTCAAGGTAATTCCCAGATAGCCACAAATAAGGACACCCAGAATACCCGCAAACTGAGAAACACCCACTAAGCTCAAGAAGTTCGAAGGATGAAATGTAGAAAGCTCTAGACCGGCCTCAGAACCCCACTAAACGATCATTTCTGGCTGTTATTAGGGTTACAATACCCCAAAAATTAAATTCACTTTGGAGAGCCCTATAGAGGCTGGGTTGATGAAAAGGCCTTGGGATCCTTGCCAAAAAGCTCTGTAGTAAACCCAAAGCCCTAAGCCCGTAGGTGCTGCCGCAAGGGACTGCTATAGTCCCGCTTAAGTAGATAGAATATGGCTTTCGGTATACTATAATAATGAGATCTCCATATACCCCATATTCTATCTACTCAAGGGGGACTGATACATAAAATCCTGCACTCCGCGTTATGGGTCCGCAACCAACCCACATACTGGGGCTTTCTGTTTTGCCTTTCAGCCCACCTGGCAGTTTACCAGAATCAACGCTGATAAAGGAATACCTCCCAGATGGTAGGATTAGTTTTCTCTCGTGGATCCTGAAATCTACGGGTCTTGCGACTTTTGGGACAACTATGCCATAAATCCTGAACCTAACACTTCAAATCATGAATCCTGTACCATGCAACCTAAACTCTGAATCCAAGGGCCTACCTAATCTTGAACCCTGAATTTCGCAAACACCCGTTTTGGTATTCCGAAAAGGGGGGGGGCTCAAGCACCCCAAAACACGATAATCCTCATTTTAGGCGCCCCAATACGCCCGATCTTTGGAAGCCCAAAACCCTGAACTCTCCTATATATACCCCTATAACCCCCTTAAAAGGACGCCTATGCACTCCATACCCCTACTTCCTGGCCTACTGTTGAGGAAGCTTGTACCATAATATGGGTATATAATCAATAATGGGGCCTCCTTAATTTAAGGAAGTTGTTACCATCATATGGGTAACTAATCAATAATGGGGCTTCCACTTTCTAGCAACTTCATCTCAATTCCTGCAACTCTACTTCTTGGTAACTCTCACCTGGATCCTGCACCACGAGGATGGTAGCCGAGGCCCGAAGAACCTCTGTACAGTCGCGCATCACCTGGCTGATGCCCTAAGGGTCCCAGTACTCAACTAATTAGTAGATAATTTGGACCTCCACGGCAGTTTCCCAAAATAGGGGGACTCCAATAAAGACACCAAAATGCGAAAGTCCTTATCATGGGGACCCCCAAAAAGGGACCCCCAATTTTGGGAAACCCCCCAATGGGTTCCCATATAGGTACTGGGCCCGGATTACATACTATTTAGGTACTTGGACGCTCTGGGATGGTTTTAATGGGTGAGTTTATCCGCAGGCCCTTTGCGACTTTCAAGGCATCACCTGGCATATGATGTGTGTGCATTTTCTTTGAGGGGGGTGGCCGGGGAACAGGGGGGGGTGGGGCGAAATAAATTTTGGGTCAACTCTTCTGCTTGTTTTCCGAGGCAGGGGGAAGCTCAGGGTATTCAGCTTGAACTTTCTGTCCCAAAGGCTTCTAAAACATACCATCCATCGGGCCCACGAGGTCTGAGCAAGTCGACGGATGACACCGTTTCTATGCTTGCAAAGGTGTGTCGACTTCTTTGAACGATGGTTTGAATACTACAATTACGCTAGCCGTCTGACCAAAGTACCCTGTGATGGTTTATCTCCAATTGAGCTTGCCGTACCCTAAACCCTAAACCCTAAAAACCCTAAACCACCAACAATGATTATTCTAAATCTTCCCCTAAGCGGGCCTTCCAAGATGCCCAGATACAGGGTGCAGGGTTTAGGGCTTAGGATTTAGGGGCTAGGGGCTATGGTTCCTAAACCAAAACAGACAGAAGCCAACAACGAAAAATCCAGCCGCGCCTCCTCGTAAATCTTTTGCAGCCTATTCCTTAGTTGCGGATCACATGGATGAACCACAAACGTGATGACGTCCAGGTTAATGGTGAGTTCTCCATACCTGGAACTGCCCTACAAATCCCGCAGCTACTTGGACGCTCAACTACGGGGACTCCAGGAATTGTCGCATGATCTCAGTTAACTCAACCTCAAATCCTAAAGAAAAAAGAAGCAAAGCCGAAGCCGACATAATGGTAAGGTTGCTACTCCCTAGGGATCCAAATAACCCAATGTAGGGAAGATCTACAAACCTTAGGGCCCAATGTAGGTGTTATCTGTATACTTGAGCCCCTGTATAACCCCAGTTTCCATTTCATGTTCCATTTCCTTTCCCACTTGATTCTCCATTATTGGGGTACTACCCCTTTATACCCCTGCAAGGAAAACTGAGATTCTCCTGCGCCGGGTTGAGGCGCACGCCAGGCATGTTCAAGGCACGCTCATATCCTCGGTGTGGCTCACATCGTAGATTTCGATGAAGCGCAATGGGTGGTAATTTCCATGAATAGGTGACACGAAAATAGACACCAATGTATCATAAACCCCAAAACCCTGAAACCCTA